TTTTTGCTTGATTATTTTTAGATATGTAACATTTTTTATCAATTTGGGAAATATTGCAGTACTACGAATATTTCGTGTATTAATAACTATTGCAGTTGTACCTGGTATATTGTTTAATATTTTATAGATAGTTAAGTAATTGATTGTTCTAGGTTTAAAAACAATTGTTGGTGCTTTAATACAATCTTTAATTTCCCTACGAGATGCGTTAATTTTATCAAGTTTTATTCTTTCTATATTTGCTTTGGTTTGAGATTTAGACACGAAAAAAAATTTTTTTTTTGTTTGAATAAGTTATGCTCTTAATTATAGATTGGATTACAACTTTATATGGGTGTTCTTCGACAAAAATGTGTACCAACTTATGAATCTTTTTTAAATAATTCCAATCTCTACAATATTGGATTTAATATGACATATGAAGTCTATTTAAAAGAAATTGATAATGAAAGTAGGTTAAAAATTCATTTATTACGATCAAACGAAAAGATTTTTTCGATTAATCTATTGATAGAAAAATTTCCAAGTCTAGATATGATTAGTTGATGATTATGTATTACATCACGATTAATATTCATAAGGCAAAATATGATGACTTATGTTCTTCTCTTCTAAGTACATAATTCAAATGATGATTTTACTTAGGGGTATCCAAGAGTAGTGGCAACGACATTTCAGTATCCCGTAGTAAGCTTGATAAAAGTTTCTTTTTACATAAGATGATAAAGAAAAAAATGCTCTTTCTTTCTATGCTGTTTGATTATACTTCAATTGGTAACATAATAATAAAGTCCTAATAAGACTAATTTCCCTATCATGTGTAACGGTTATACACGGTGGTCCATAAGTTACCTGTCACTTTTTAATTGCGAATAACTTTTGATAGGAACAAGATAGAGAGCTGCGATTTTCACCATTCGAAAGAAGACGTGTCACTGTATAGTTTCATGTATTACTCAATGATTTCGAATGATAATCAAATGGTGGATCACTAATTGTCGGAAAAGTAGTGATATCATATGAAGATGGCATAGAGGTTCAATTCTATGAAGTGGATGAGACCTGTGTACTTACGATCCACGCCCACAGCCTCATTCTCTAGTGTTCCATCTATAACTTTGGAATGGAAGAAGATAAAAGGTTTAGGAATGAGGCTATGGGCAGTGTTTTATCCAGGTTTTTCGTTCCTGGGGGGCAAAGTCAGTTGCCGGGAGGGCAGACATAAGTTTGTAAGCAAGTAGCTACGATCAATGTTGTCGAGTCATAATATCGACATTTTCAACAGATCGCGTTCTATAAGTTATAAAATGCAAAACTTTAAAGGGTGTCCCAAAAGTTTCGACCCCTCTCAATAAATCGATGATATCTATAACAAACTTATACAGAGTTATTGATCAAATTATGTCATTTTGTAGAAGAAGATTAGAGCTATCATCTGATAAAAAAATAGTTGAAGACACATAAATTTATAATAAAGTTATAATCATTTTATTAATCTTGAGTGAAAATTTTTATGTTGCATTTTTTGAGAAAAATAAAAAGATAACTTTTTTCAAGTAATAATATAAGTTTTTCTCGTAAAGATTTTTCTAAGTAATTATTTTTTTAATGAAAGAATATTGGTTATATTTATCTACTTTGATTGTAGCTTGTAACACTATTCATATTGGTAAAGACTTCCATATACAAAAGTCTTATTTTATGAAGTTTACTGTTCCGTAACTTTTCTCGAATATGCCAATTACTTAAATTTATCTTTTCGATAGTTTTCCTAGTTTTATCAAAAAAATTCTATTGTTCATTTTAAAGCTATATAGAGCATGTCAGATAACAATAAAAGGACAAATGAAGGCTAATTCATCTCAATTATGCCGTCTTACCAATTTATTTGAATTGTAATGTTTATAGAAAAAATTCGGACCAATAAACTTCATAAAATAAGACTTTTGTATATAGAGGTCTTTACCAATATGAATAGTGTTACAAGCTACAATCAAAGTAGATA